ATATATATATATATATATCAAAAGAGATTACTAAGTAGTAAGCACACTGCATAAACACAAAGATTTTTCTGTCTCCTCTTCGCTCGCATGCTTGTTTATCTCTTCCGCCTCTATGTGTTATTCTCTTGTGCTCAGCTCGTCCTGCTTATAATAAAACACACGTAAAGAGGGTTTAAGCCCTTTACCACTTTAGGGGGCCCCTAGAAGGATATTCAGGAGAGAAGGGGGGGCCCTTCAGTGCTGGGCGGCCGCCTCGGTGTCTCCGAGAAGGCGCAATTATGCATGCATGCATGGATATGCATGCCTGAATATGCATGCACGTGGCATGAATGAAAATGCATGCATATACGAATATGCATGAATGGATACGCACGGATGCACGAATGTGCATGCATGAATAGCATGGATGCACGAATATGCATGCACGGATATGCATGCATGAATAGCTTAAAGCACGCAGCCTCTTTAATAGCGCTACTCAAGCGCCTAAGGAGGTATACCCTGAAATCTGTGGCAGCAGGGTTGAGGGATGTGCGTGCAACGGGGCTTATTAACACTTTTTGTTTTGTGGGTGGGGCCTCGTGCATGACTTGTCTTCTACTTCACTCGCGAAAAGCCAACAGAATCAAATAACAGACAAACCCAAACAAACCAAGGCACAGCAAAAAGCCTCGCCTATTGTGCAGGGCAAGCAGCAGTGCATAAGCCCCCTTTGTCTCCGTTGCCTGCTTTAATGTCTTATTGTAGTCTAGCGTTCTGCACTTCAGTCATAGCGCCTCAGCTACTTTTGCTTTTCTTTAACGGTTGCAAAGAACGAGCATCGCTTATCAAGCCCCCACGCAGCGGTGAATCTGCAGCTCCAAGGCCTCGTCTTTTAATAAAGCCCTCTAGAGGAAATAATTTGGGTGGGGCGTTTTTACTTCTCAATTACAAGAAAGGAGATTGCTGCAACAGGCTTATTATATCTTCAGGGGGAGTTGTATATTTAGACTTAGGCTTGTGCATCTCGGGCTCCTTAGTAGTCACAGTTTTATTGGCTCTGTTGGTGTTTGTTTATTTCTCCACTTCAAGCAAGCAAACCCTAAACCCTAAGACCAACAGCGAACGAACAAGCGGATATGCAACACGCGAACAAACGAACATACAATGCACAAACAAGCAAACACCGTACAGTGCAGACAGGCAAACAAACAAGCAACGAACACACAAGTAAGCAGTCATACAATGCACAACCAGAAAAGAATACAACATGCAAACAAACATGCAAAGCACACAACACGCAAAGGAGAATGCAAGCACGCAACGCAAACAAGCATACGAACATACAGCACGGAAACGAGTATACAAACATACAACACACAGACAAATATACAGGCATACAATCTGCAATCAAATACGCAAGCATGCAGATGTGCAAACATACAACGCACAAATGTAAGAGCATACAGCACGAACACGTGCAAAGCTACAACACAAAAGCGCAGAAACCTACAACACAAACAAATATGCAAGCATATAACACGCACGCAAATATGCAGACGTACAACACAAACAAAAAAATGCAAGCACAGTGCATGAGGCCCGTAGGGCCCAACCCCGCCGTCGCGAGGGCCCAGGGGCGCCTTTAGAGCAGTGCAAAACGAGGGAAAAGCTAGTGGCGAGGACTTATGCGTTGAAATATAAAATTTAATTGCATAAACATTATAAAAGAGGCTTTTGCCTTCCCATTTCCCTTCGTTTAGGCCGGGACTGCAACCCTGGCCAACGAGTGACCTTCGCTGAGGTCATTCCCCGGGCTGGTCTGTGCCTTGAGGCACGCTTGCTCTGTTGCTGTCACTGCTGGTCTTTTTTTTATTATTTTTGTGGATACTCATTATATAATTACATATTTAGTTTTGAAATTGGAATTTATCCGCTGTAAAAACGAAGAAAAAAAGTGCGAATTGGCCCCCTCGCGTGCCTCCCCCACTGCGCGGTCACCGCACCGCCGGCACCTCCTGCTCCGCGCAGAGGCCGCAAAAGCCCTCAGTGCAGGCTAATTTTCTCTCTTAATATTCTTCCCAATTCTTTGCAGTTTATATTTTTCTTCAAAATAGTCTACTTGAACCTTGGCACCTCACTTCCTCTCTCTACGCCTGCACCCGCGCCCTGGGCGCGAGCCTCGCAGCAGTAGCCTGCTGAGGCCGTCAGCTGCAGCTGCACCTTTTTTAGCCTTTTCTTTCTCTCTAGGGTCTTTATAGCTAATTAAACTTTTTTCTCCTTCTTCTGTAGCTTTAGAAGCAGAATTTTCCCCTAATTGGCACTGCATTACGGCGTACACCCGCCACCCAACTTAAAGCAAAACCCCTCCTATTGCTTCACTTTCTCACAGCAGCAGCTAAAAATAAAGAAGGGGAAAAGGGAGGACTCCTCTCCCCCTCACTAGCTTGAATTTCTGTGAACTGCCTCTCGCCGTTGGTTCGGTTGCCCTTTTCTTTGCTCTGCTTGTCCCCCAGCTTCCCTTCAAGCCTCCTCTTGCCTCGTCCTGTAGCGCCTCCTGCTCCGCCTGGTTGCGGCTCTAAAGGCTTCCTTCAGTGTCTACACGACTTGCAGTTATTTCTTTTGCTTTGTTCCCTTCTCCCTCCCTCTGTGTGTGCCAGTGCGCTTGCGTCTTGGTTTAATCAAGTGATATTCGGGCCCTTTAATCGGTTTGGGTGGCTTTGGCTTGACAGGGAAACAAGAAAACAACGGCCAGCTCAGGAGTCCCCTCCCCTTGTGCAGTTTGCCTTGGTGCTGCTTTGCACCAACTCCCAGTAAGTAGCATGGCCCGCCGCGGCAAGAAGGCCTCCAACAGAGCCCTCAACAACGAGGGCTTCGGCGACCAGCAGCAGCAGCAGCAACAACAACAACAACAGCAACAACAGCAACAGCAGCAGCAGCAACCGCGGCAGCAGCTGCAGCTAGTGCCCGTCAAAAATGAGGCTGCCCAGGTTGCCCACGAGCAGGTAAAGCAAGATAAAACCCAGCAACAAGCCAGGGATACCTCAACGTCGGCTGGAGATCAACATGCTGGGGGAGGGGTGGGCCTGTCTGCATTGACTACATGTCTCCATCTGCTCCTCTCGTTTTGCTTTTCGCTGTTTCCTGCACGCATGGGCCCGTTGTTTGCTGCTGATACCTGCCTAACCCCCTCGCAAACGGTACGGTAAGAGCAGAGTGCAACACACACCCAGGGCCTTGTGCTCCTGCAGGCAAGACGCCAAGAAGCAGACTACCCTCAGTACCTCAGAGAGAGGGCCATCAGCGCTCTCTTGGAGTTAGAGGAAAGGGCCTACAGGAACTTCCAAGAAGCAGCTGCACTGGCCACCGCTGCAGGTCCTTCTTCTCTTTAGAGACAGCAGCAACAGGAGAAACGGTTAAAGCAGCAGCAGAAGAAGTAGCTGCAGCAGTTCAAGCAGTTGGAAGGGTTGCTGCAGTTGCAAGGGTTGCAGCAGAAGCAGTGAATGGAGAATTAGCAGAAGCAGCCATTGGAGAATTAGCAGAAGCAGTAGCTGCAGCAGCAGGACGTCCAGCAGCAGGATCCAACTGCAGCAGCCAGAGCCAGCAGCAGCCTAGATACGAAGCACTCAACTACATCTTAGCTTCATGCCCCTACGCTGTAGACGTTGTTGTTTCAAGTGTCTCCTCCCCTTTACCTGCCTCCTTTGGTTTATTTTTGTGTCTGTTTCGGGCTTCCCCTTCCTTCAGCAAATGCAACCGACATTCTGCTTGATATGACGGCCCCAGGGGCCCCCCCACAGGCCCCTGCCAGCAGCCCACCGCCGCCAGTGAGGAGACAAGGCCCTCACTCGAAGCTTCCTTTCGTCTTGACCTGAGCTGCCCTTTGCTCTTAAGTAGCTGACACATTTTGCTCTCATTCATCATACAGTTAAAAGGCTGGGGTGTATGCGCACTGCAGGTGGTTGAAGAAGTCTCGACCTCTTCAGGGAGCTCCCAGGACTTTGAAAGCTTCCTGCAGGACCTGCTGCGTCTGCTGTCAATTGATTTGTTGTTAGACACCCGGACTCCTCAGCAGCAGCCGCAGCAGCAGCAGCAACCGCGGCAACAGCAACAGCAGCAGCAGCAACAGCAACAGCAGCAGCAACAGCAGCAGCAACAGCAACAGCAGCCGCAGCCGCAGCCGCTGCAGCCCCAGGCTCTGCAGCGACTCGACTTGCTACAGCGCCTGGCCTCAACGGAACCGAAAGACATCAAGGAGGCCCTTCTGCGCCGGGACAGAGATAGCAGCGGCGCTCTGCACCTCAGTCTCCTTGAGCGCCTCAGCAGCGGGGAGGACAGCGAGACCTTACATCTGTCTCTCTTGGAGAAGCTGTGCCTCAGCGACACCGTGCAGCAGAACTCCGCAGACGCAAAGGCAGACCCGAAGAGAACAGAAGCGGGGGCTCCTGCTGCTTCTGCTGCAAAAGGGGGAAAAGAGGCCCCCAGGGTCCCTCGCTCCATTCGGCAGCAGCTCTCTGACCAGGAGAAAAACAGCGAAAACTTGCACTTGAGCCTCCTCGAAAGGATCGGGTCGCTGACAGACCTCCCAGAGGGAACAGCAGACAGCCAGTCCCTCCACCTGTCCCTCCTCTTCGGTAGAGGCAGCTTGCAGGATATCGTAGGAGGGCGAAGCGTGAGCGAGCGCAAAGGGACCTCGGGTGCAAAAGCGGAGGGCCCAGCAGGCAATGCTGCAGCTGCAGCCCAAGGAAGCCTCAGAAGGCCAGAACCCATGCGGCCTAACTGCAGGGGGCCCCCTGCTGCTGCTGACACAAGACAGGCGACTGGAGAAGCAGCGAGGCAACAGTTCAGAAGAAGGGAGCTTGGCAGCCCCGGAAGCAGCAGCAGCTGCAGCGGAAGCGGCGAGTCCTCAGAGTGGCTGACAGAAAGCAGCAGCGGCTCACGAGACATTGAGGCCCAGCTGTTCCCTCAACCTAAGGCAGCGCAGCGACCCGGCAGAGGCAGAAAAGCCCCTGCATGGTCAAGCAAGCTAACTCGTGCAGCTCCAGTGAAGCTGCAGCCACAGCAGCAACAGCAACAGCAGCAGCAGCAACAGCAGCAGCAGCAGCTGCTGCTGCTGCAGCCACAGCAGCAGCAGGAGAGTGGTGCCCCTTCCTCCTTGAAGGCAGTTCTTCGGAGCGCTTCACCCATGCCCGGAGGCAGGTGGACGACCCCACCCCTTTCTAATGGAGCTGCCGTTGCGGGACCCTGTCCTGCCACCACAGCGGCGGCAGCAAGAGGAGGCCAGCAGCAGCCCCCACAGGCTGCAATAGCAGCTGCAGCAGCAGCGACAGGAGCAGCAACCGCAGCACGGGACCGGCGGCCAGCCTCTGCAGCACCACAGACCCCCACGGGCCCCGAGGCTTTCTGGGATTTGTTTTATAGTCGAACGACGCGAAAGATGCTCGAAGACGCCGCTGAACCTGCACAGACAACCCGTGCTACAGCTCCTCGGCCGGTTACGCCTTCTCCTGCAGCTCCTAAGAAGCAGCAAGAAGGACAAAGTAAGAAAGCCGCGTGGGTCTGGCTAGACTCCCAGAGCTCCTTAGACACTCCTTGCCCTAAAGACTGCAAAGGGTGCCTCAACAACAGCGAAGAAAAACCCTATGACGCTGACAGCTCCGGCGTCTCCTCCCAAGAGGGCTTCCAAGTCGGCGCTTCCCCTTGTCTCTTTGTAAGAGGCGCTCCGCTGACCCAGCAGCAACTGCAGCAGCAGCAGCAGCCGGCAAGGATCCGCGTTGCCGGACCCGTAGAAGCCAACGGAAGGCCTCCGCTACTGTTCGATGACTCCGTGCCCGCGGAGGGGCCAGCGTTTTCGCAGGGAGCTGAGAGCAACAGGCCTCCCCAGCAGCAGCAACAGCAGCAGCAGCAGCAGCAACTGCAGCAGAGTCAGTTCCCCGCTGCTCCTGCGGGAGAGCAGACGGGGACCAGAAGAAAGCGCCGAAGCGGGAGACGCCGCTCCTCAGGTCGCCGTCGCAACTGAGCGGAAACGTAGGTAGCTTAGCAGAGTTCTGTAACCTTGTCTGTCGCTGGTCTTTCTGCTACTGCTGCTGCAGTTGTGTGCACTGTCTCGCTTGTCAATATCTAGCCTGCCCTGTCGGTATTTCCATTGTTCTCTACTACGTGGGGCCCTGCTCAAGAAGGATGATTCTTCAGCCAGTAGAGCGGCATATGGCGAGGAGAACCCTGCAAATGAATAGTTGGACCTGATATTTACTGCTGCAGGAGGCCTGTGGTGCCACGCACATTTGGAGCGAACGTACAAGCGAGACGTTACCAACCAGCGAAGCGACTGGGGGCACAACTGGGGGCAGAGGTGACTGCACACAGCAGCTTCTCAAATCATTGTTTTGGAAGGCAAGCGGCTCCTTGCAGCAATGAGTGAATCCGCTGCAAGGTTTCTCTCGCCGCAGCAGCAGCAGCTGCTGCTGCTGTCTCGGGTTCTTGTAGCACTCTTGTTTGTGTGCTCAGTGAGCACGGCACCGCGCGCCTGAAGGCAAGTCAGGAGGTATTTAATTGAGACCTGTAAAAAAATCGAGACTGAGATCTGAGAGGAGAACTGATATTGTTAGCCGCGTTGTTTCGGCTGTCAAAGGGATGCTTATTGCAGCAGTGTGGTGAAGTTGAGTAACTTCCTTCTTGAGCCTCAACTGACTGACGGTGCCGTGAGCCCTGGGTACTTGCTTCGTGTCTTGCTAGCTGCACTGGCAGCTGGCTTGCAACTGGCTAGCCGTGTATGGCTAGCTATGGTTAGCTAGCTTTGGCTAGCTAGCCACGGGTATGTACGACTATTGGAATCGTTCCAGTAGGGTCTAAGTGCTACAGCGAGGAGAAACCCTCAACTCGTTTCCGTGAAAGCCGCTACAGCAGCATTTTGCGTTTCGGGGTGCTGCGGGGACGCCAGACATAATCGCACAATCCCAGCTTGAGAAGCGCCTGCTAGCGGCGAGCACGGACCGCATGCAGCGCAGCGTGCATGCAAGCCTACATGAAGAAGGTTTGCAACGAGGAGTAGCTTTTGCAGACGAGGAGCCTCAGTTTGGTTATCTGCTTCATGTGTTCAATAAGAAAACGCAACAAGATGAAGATCGACAACAACGCCCCCTCCCTCAGAGCGCCGCAGCAAAGACGTTTCCTCCATCACGCGGCCCCTGCCCATAATGCTTGCAGAGTAGGAAAAAGCATGCACCACTGGCAGGAGCTCGGCTAGTGGCTGCTGCACTGGCTCCACTTAATATTCCTGTTCATCGAGCAAACTGGCTGAACCCTGTAGGGATAAGGTGCCCAAGTGCAACAACCCCTAAACAGAGCTAGCAACAAAGTCATCGAAATCACACACGTAACAGGCCTAACATGCGAAAAGGATGTATATTAAAAACTCGCGACCCGGTAGGGCGTTAGCCCATGGGGCGATCTCTAAGCATCCACAGTTACCATACGCACTGAAGCTAAATGAAATCGTGACTAGCAACAAGGGTAGTCCATTTGAAGGAATGCCAGGCCAATGCAGTAGAACAGAAGAACCCATTATTCAGGTGGGGAGCAGCCCCACACACAGAGAGAAGGACGTGACAGTGAAGCCCAGACTGAATCCCAACTTTTCTAGCAGCAATTTGTTGCATCAGTGCAGCTTGGGTTCAACGCAAGCGCGCGAACTCTATCAATCTTTGTTGAAGTCCTCAAAAATCCACCACATGCCCCGGAGTGCTTGCGCGCTCTGCTCTCAAGCATTTGAGAATAACAGTTTATATATGGTTCCATTACTTTCTAAGTCATCGGAGAGGTGAATGAGCAACAGACTGTCAGCCTGTGCAGCATAAATGTCAGTAAAATCGAATAGTCTAAAGCTCTGCTCTTCCTGCTACCCTCCCTGCCTACAGCCTTATCTATTCTGTGCCTAGCCCTATGCTCAAGGGTGTAGATGAGAAGCACTACAGCTTCTATGGGGCGGTAGGGATCCTCACCTCCAGCCCTCAAGCCGCGTAATGGGAAGCATTCACAAGGCCCGCTAAAGTTTTAACATATGGATGAACTATCTCATGCGGCAGGCATGCAAAATGCACGTAGACACTCGTTTATATTTAAAGCACAAAACCATGTTCATGCATGCAGCTTCAACCCCACCGCAGGTGCAGCAGCAGGAGTTACGCACAGTGTCTTGCCAGACTCTCTCCACTAGGAGCACCTACAGATATCGATCAGTGCTGCAGCTTGCTTTACTTTTAATTCCTAAGAGCGTGCGTGGAAAGATGCGTTTGGCTCTTGGCTTGCGGGGGTCGATCCCTCGAAAGGAAGAAGAGAGTAGACAGAAAAATGGAAGTTTCGGTGCAAGGTAGAAGAGGCGTAAATGAATCTCCGCTGAGTCCACGGGCCTTTCGAAAGGAGTCCCCAAATTCGCACATGGCAGGTAGGTGAGAAGACATAGATGAATACCACCAGCAAGCTCTAGTAATACACTCCTACGTGGGAAATGCATGAAAGCACAAGCTAAATCTGCACAAGAATTTGCTTAATATATAAACAAAATTAGCAGTTGTTTCGTCGACTACATGCAGTGGCCGGTGGCTGCATTGTGTGGGCTGAAGAAGTGTCGCTCAGCGACCGGCTGTCGTTACGGGCGAGCCCTGGGTTGTTACTTATGTTATTTGTGTAGCAACAAGTTGTTTGTTCTTGCCTTTGTTGGCGTTGTGTTTCTGAGGTTCCGAAGAGAGAAAGGAAAAAGCGTTTGCATAGTTGGCTTATTGGTTTCATTCATTGGACGGGGGTTTGTTTAGGAGCGGGGCGGCTGCTTCCCTCATCTGCGCCGCAGCCGCACCTCCTCCACGTCTCCTCCTCGTTTTCTGCTCCTTGCCTGTTCCTTTTTTCTTTTTGTTTATTTTCTTCCTCAGTGCTCTGTACGCCCACGAACTCACACGCCCATAGCGCAACTCTGGGGGCCTCCACGCGGTCGGTGCGGCTGGCCTTCTGGATGCGCCCAGTGTCCGAGCTTCCCCGCCCGCCTGCTTCATCTGCATATTTCCTTTTTGAGAAATGGTGGTGTCGTCGAGAGCGAGTTGGGGGCCCTCCTGGGCCCCCGGCAGTCTGTACGGACTGAAGGCGGCAGCCCAGTTGCTGCTTGTGTTGGCTCTGTCGTTCTTCGTGGCTGCGCATCGCGGCGTCGTGAGTGCTGCAGAGGTGGAGGTAGGTTTGCAGACAGAAAGTCAGGTGTATTCGGAGGATCAGAAGACCAAGGCTACAACTGACCAAAAGGCAGTGATAGATAGCGGGGTGGTTTCTCTGAATGGATCTTCTTACAGCGGCTTCATGGCAGGGAATCCCCTGACCCTAGTCATGTTCTACGCGCCGTGGTGCTACTGGTCGCGCTCAGCTCTGCCGGAACTGGACGCAGCAGCGAAGCTGTTGTCGCACCATGTGCCTCCTGTGGTCACTGCGAAGGTCGACTGTACCGTCAACGAAGACCTTTGCAACCAGGAATACATCCGGGAGTACCCGACGATTCGGCTATACGTTGAGGGTGTGGCACATTTGTACGAAGGGCGGCGGTACAGAAGCCACATTCTGCACTGGGTAGATCTCAAGGTTGACCGTGACAAGCAGATCACCTCTGCAGCGTATTTAGATGAGCTCGTCAGCAGCAGCAACAGCGATGGTAAAGGCACCTCAGACGACGGACACGTCGTGGTAGTGGCGGCAATCCCTCCGGATTATAACCGAGGGAGCTTTCAGGCAGTGGCGCGGGCCTTCGGGGAGGAGGTTCTGTTCGGTGATACAGCAGACCCCGAGCTCACGACGAGACTGGTAGACAAACACGTCTTGCCACGCCTCCCTGAGAAGGAGCGCGGCAGCAGCGAGGTGTCTAGACAGCTGAAGCCACCCTTTGTTGTGGTGTTCGCACCCCACAAGGACGAGGCCGGGGTGCACATCTACAAGGGCCCAGTAGGAGAGGTGAAGGAGCTGCGCGCGTTCGTGCGGCAGTGGCTGTTTCCCGTGGTGTCTCTATTTGATGCAGAGAGCATCGGCAGCAGTTTCTTTAGTGACGTGCGGCCCAAGCTGCTGTTGCTGTTGGACTCGAACAAGCATGAAGAGCAGCTGAAAGAGGTGGGGAACGTCTCACCGAAAGACCCTCTTGTTGCTGCCTTTCGCGCGGTGGCAGAGAAGCACCGGATATCTGTCGCCGCTGCTGTTTCGGGAAACAAAAAGAACTTTGAGAAGCAGCTCATGAGCCTCCTCGGAATCGAGGACGAGACGTTGCCCCAAGTGCGCATCATGCACGTCAGCCGCAACACTGAGGGGCCCCAACATCCTGCAAAGAAATTCCGTCCCCCTTCCCCTCTTCCCTCTCCAGATCAAGGGAAGCAGGCGCTTGAAGATGCGATGGATGCCTTTGTCTCGGGCGTGCTCTCGCAGACGCTGTCCCCGTATTTCAGGTCCGAGACACCGCCGGATACACCTGAACCCAGAGGCCGGATTCGAACCTTAGTGGCCTCGACGTTTGCAACGGAAGTGAGGAAAGAAGCCAATGTCCTTGTGGAGTTTTATGCCCCTTGGTGTGGCTTCTGTAGAAAGATGGAGCCTGCATACAAGGAGCTCGCGATGCGGGTCGCTGACGTATCTGGCCTGCTGATTGCACGCATCGATGCTACTCGGAATGAAGTCGATGGCGTTGCGATCGCCGGATACCCCACCCTTTACCTGTATAGGAGGGGAGACGAGGAACCCCTGCTTTATGCAGGAGACAGGAGCACACGAGACATGCTCAGGTGGCTCAGCCTTCGAGTTCGGGGCGCTTCTCCCTTCGATCCGGACGAACTGATGAGCAGAGATATCGCAAACTCCAACGAAAAGGTCTCTGCTTCGGTCCTCGAGGAACTCTAAATTGGCGTCACCTTAGTGCAATCTTGCTGCTATTGCTACTGCTCCTGCTGCACAGGCAGAAAAGCAGCGCGCACTAGCAAATGCTGGCGGTGGAGATAAAGAGCACCTCCACAGTTTGGTTTGCGGCTGCGTGTGCCGCGAGGGGCTTTTCCGTTGCCGCCAGGGGGCGAGCGAGGAAGAGCTTTTCGCGGCAAGTGCGCCGCTCTGTTGCTCGAAGTTATATTGGCATGATGGTGGTTGGGGTGTCTGCATAGCATAGTGAGTGCCTCTACACCCAGAACAACCTGTCTCTTGATACGAATTGACCTCAGGCACGCATGTGGTTGGCTAGTCAGCTTGCTTGTCAGACAAACGGGGCCCTCTTCCAAGTTTGTGGGTAAGGAGGGGTGCTCCAGTGTATAGTTGGGAACCTTCCGGCAAACTGCAGCATTTGTCGGTTGCCTAGTGGGGTTTGCTAGGGGCCCCTCTTTAGGGTCCTCCTTGTGTTTAGTGGGTGTATCAGCTAAGAACTGTTTTCTGGCCGCCTCTCCCGGCTAGGCCATTTGAGGTGTCTGTACGCGCGGCTCGGCAGCGCTCACTAGACAGCGGAGCCTTTGGCCCACAGTAGGGCAGCGGCGAAGCAGCTAGTTGGAAATCTTCTTTGTCTATGCTCTCCTGACTAAATATCTAGGGGTCTTTAAGGGAGCACCATATAATATGCCTAGAATCGGTAGCTCCAATGCCTTGGGAAACGGTGGCTGTCCGTAGTAGCATTAGTAGTGGTAGAGAACAAACATTTTTTTTACGACTTCTCTGGCATACTCCAGAGGAGCCTCAAGGCTCGAACAGGTTTGATAGTTAGATTTACTGCACGCAAGAACAGACAATGTGCGGTGTCACCGCAGCGAACACCGCGGCATCTGGCGGCAGTCTTCGTGCGTGTGTCTGTGGTACACCCTATTTCTGTGGGGTCCATCATCAAGCAGTGGATGGCCTCGTCGCTGCAACAGTGTGGCAGCCCCCACATGCGGCTAAAACAACTTTCTCACTGTCGCCGAGAGTGACCTCAACGGGGACGTCCCGCGACGCTGCAGGGCTCTCTATGAGTCCCCCCCTGCCCAGCTGGCCTTCTCGGCCGCGGCCCCAAACATATAGTTTGCCTTCTCCGCACAAAGCAAGGCTGTGCCCCTCCCCCCCACTGATCTGCGTGCAGCGGCCAACTGAGGGCGTTCCTGAGGAGTCCCCGAAGTCCACCTGAAGGGGCAGAGGTACGTCGAGGTGGGTCGGCTCTGCGCACTGCCCGTCTTTGCCGTAGCCCCACACAAACACCTTCCCATCCTGTGTTAAACACAAACTGTGCTGAGCCCCGCACGCAACGGCAACCACATTCTGGTCCTTCAACGCTGAAACCAGCTGGGGCCCCTCCACGGTGCGGGGGCCTCCTCCCAGACCGAGCTGCCCATAGAAGTTGCTCCCCCATGTGTACACAAAACCCCTTTCGCTAAGCGCCATGCAGTGGCTCTCTCCGCATGCAACGGAGACAGCCCGTGCAGGGCCCCCCTCCTCCTCGGCTGGCAGGGGCACCAAACGCGGTTCATGAGGTAGGGGCCTTCCCTCCTGGGTTCTGTCGCCTCCATGCATCCCCCCTGCCCGCGCGTCTCCCCAGACAAAGACCTCCCCGTCTGATGTAACTGCAGCACACATGCGGTCCCCGCAGGACGCCCCCACAACCTTTCGCGTGGCCAGAAGGCCCCCCACCTTCCCAGGAGGTAGGAAAGGAGAAGATCGCGCCCTCCCCCCAAAGACATCCCGCCTGTCAATGCCCTTCAAGAAAGACTTATCTGCGCTAAGCCCCAACTCCTGGTGGTCAGAAGAAGCCTCGTGGGGGGGCCGACCGCACTGGCCGTGGCTGTTGCTGCCCCACGTGTACAGGCACCCCATCTCAGTAACTACCAGAGAGAAGCCGTTGCCACAACACACCGAAAGAGGTCGGTCCCCCTTCTCCAGCGGCAGCAGAACCTCTTGGGGGCCCTCAGCAGCCGAGGGTCCCCCACAGTCACCTGCACCTCCTCTCCCCCATGAGAAGACCCGGCCTTCCGATGTCACGCAAGCAGAATGGCGGGGCCCGCCTGAAAGGCTAAGGACGGTTTCGTTGGGCCTTAGTGGTAAGGAAGAAAGCACCACAGGGAGGGAAACAGATAGGGCTGAGCCAACGCCCACTTGCCCGTCGATGTTGGATCCCCACACGTAAACGCGAGATCCCCTAGAAGGACACGAGGCGCAATGGGCAATTCTACTCCCACTGCTGCTGCTGCTGCTGCTGCTGTTTCTGCCCTGCCACCCAAGGGCGAAAACCGAGAAACCTGCTGTGGCAACGGCTAAAGCGGCCCCCCCTTGAGTGCTGCGGGGTAGGGAATGGGCGCAGATGGCGCTGGCGCTCTGGCCATTCCTTTTGCTGCACTTCGTAGTGCTGCTGTTGCAGCTGTTCCTGCTCTTCAAGCGAGTTGGAGCTGATTGCAAAACGCTTGCTGCACCTGCTATGCCGGTGCCCGAGCCTGTGGGAGAGAAATGCAAGAAGTTCCAGGCCAAATGTAGCCGAGGCAAACTCCCGTGGCCGACAAACAACCCAGATCTCTTTGCAGCTGCGGCAAGTGTCATGGCGTCTCGCTCTTTTAAACGGTAGGAGCAGACCTAAGAAGATGGTGAGTAGAACCTACGGTGGTCTCTAACGAGAGCAGAAGAATGGTTAGAACTAAGCAGGGGCCCTCCCGTGCCAACAAGCCTTGTGCGGCAATCTCAGGAACCGGGGCCTCCTGGCATCTCCTTATGGTTTCCCATAAATAGAACAAAAAATTTCGAGAAACGAATTAAAGGCGGTATTACACAGAATAACAGGAGAGACAGTCGAGCCACGGGTGGCGGTTGGGGCTGGATGCAACATTTTTGTTATGCCCTCCTCCAGCTTGCCATGATCCTTGCATGATACCTTTATTTAGAGGACATTCTTAAAAGACGTGTTGGGCATTTGCTGTATACTGCTGGCATGGGAACAGAGGATCCAGAAGGGTATATGGAGTTGGCTTCACGATTTGCTTGTCGGCTCAGCAAACTGTGAATTGCAGTGATCGTCTTCCTAGTAGATTCCCTGCACCCTGCCGATCTTGTACTAATACAGGGCAAGCCCTCATCGGAATGCGGCCTTTCCCCTTGTGGGATAGTAGCGGACGCCCGATTCCCGAGCCTGAGGCCTCAGCACCTTTGTGGAGGCCAGGTGTGTAACAGGGTCGTCCAGCGGGCGGTGGGCATATCGACATTTGTGTGCCTATTGCCCACCGAAAGCTAAGCACGTGCTTAACAACTGTTTACGTTGTTACTGCATAGATAGAAGCTTGGCTTGCTTAGCTTGGATGTGGGGTCACCGTGCGGCAGGAGATGCAGTGTAGCAACGGTCTGTCTGAAGTCGGTGCATGAACGATTACTTGGCCATAGTATCCAGCCTGCACGCAGGCAGAAGCACAACAATTCTCTTCAAAGTTAGTGTGGACTGCAAAAAATGGTCTAGTTGTGCAGCCACGTGCAGTCCTCTGCTGCGTTATTGCGCATACCGAAGAAGGCTTAGTTGTGTTTGCAGGTAGAGGCGCCTTGCAGCATCATGAGGTGTGTTGGGACTCATTTCAGGCCGCTTCCTCTCCCCCAGCCCCAGGCCCTTCGGCCACTGTGGACCAGGTGCCGGGGGCTGGAGTGGTCAGCTGCTCTGTAGAAACTGTTATGTCAAGCGTTGGGCTAGGTTGCAGCTCACGACGGTCCTTGGATAAGACGGCGGACTCTCGCTACACTTTGTAGCACCACGTAGCTGCGAGTGACTACCGCCTCTCCACCGCTGGGTGGCCCGGTGTATAACAGTGACTTGTAGCGACCGCGCTTCAGAAAGTTACTGAGGAAAATTTTGCTATCCACCCAAAATCTTTGAAAAGAACTAATCAATTTTCTTGCTCAATAGAGATTGCTAAGGATCTGCCCTCTGGGGGGGAAGCAGCCGCCGGCTGGGTGCCTCCTTGCGTTGAAACCAGCGCAGTAACTGCATATCATTAAGCGGAAAATGCTTTTTTCAGCAAAAGCAACTCATGGAAAATGGTTCTGCTCCTGCCATCCGTCCAGGTATGACGGGCTTCGCGATGTTGGAGGAGTGGAAGACTTCTTTGCTTTTCTCGAGTTGTACTTTGGAGAAACTACGAAAACGAAAGGCACCCGGAGTCACTTGCCATTGGCACCTTTATTAAGAAAAGACGTACGCCAACAGCGATTACTATCTGAGAAAGTATGCAGCTTTCCCGAGAACATCCGAACTACGGAAGCGTTCCGAGATTAGCGGAGCCTGGTCAGCTACGGCAGAACTCGGAAAACTTAAACAAAGAAAACAATCGCTTGAGCACTTTAACGAGAAGTGCCTGGCATTGGTGCGCAGGAGTCCAAAGGTGTACTCGGAGCTTGCATTTCAATGTTTCATAGCAGGGCTGCCCCCAGGAGAGAGGCCATGAATAGGCAGCTGGGACGTGAAGAGGGTCATGTGGGGGGAAAGGGTGGAACTTGCCAAGAAATGAAGTACTTGCGCATGAAATAGAAGGAAGAAAGGCAGCTGCAGAGCCATCTATGGGAATGAAGATACCCACTTGGAAATGACCCCGATATAGGGCATAAGTATATGGGGGCTGAGACTACCCGTCTCAGATTTCTGGAACCCGTTCCAGGAAACGCTGAGGAACGAGGACAGACGGGACACGACACAACCAGCATTCAGTAGGTTCAACAAGCAGGGAAGATGTACCGAGCGGCTCATCTGCGTCTCTTTGAATACATTAAGGCTCAGTATTAGAGACTTGAGACTTAGAAAAGGAGCAAAGGAACTCGAGAAACATCGAGGGGAACAAACAGACTTATGAGGGAGAAGCCCTGGAACCAACAAAATCTGCGGAACAGTAATGCGCCGAAGGAGGTGACGGAAGCAAATGCATATCCACCTTGAGCCAATTCTGTGCATAGTTAACTACGTATTTATCGTCAAGGATTGCTGGCCCAGCTTGACACTGCCTGTGAAGTGGACCTGACACCTAGAGCTACGGCGAGACGGTGCAACCCAGCTTTCTATTCGTTGACGCAGTCTCTGGGGGACAGGAGGCGAAAACTGGACGGAGCAGGACAGTAAAAAACAGACGCAATTCAGCAATAGCCAACAGTACTATAGTACGAGACTTCCACGTTGAACTAGCCGACCATGACATAGGCCCAGGCCCACCGTGGGCGACCCAGTAGACGGACTGCATACGGCTTGCAGACGCCCCCTACTGAATCCAATATACCTTAAAGCAGCGGAAGAGTTCGTCGCCAAGCATTTTCAACACAATGTGCTTCGTGTACGATGGGTGTAGTTGAATCAGCCTCAAACTAAGAAACAAGCGATAGGCTCTAACGTAATGCAGAGGGGCTACCAGACACAGAGGAGAAATGCGTGCTTTCAGCAGAGATGGCCTTGTGAAAAGCACGTGTGGGTAATTCGATCATATTAGCACCAGAGGAACAGCAGAAGGCAGGGAAGAATTCTCATACGTTCTGATAACAAGGAGCTTCCGCCGAGAAGGCCATCCCGTAATGGCACAAATATCTAGCCCCTACTTCCCGAAGAGACAATTGAGAGCCATGCAGATGGACTGGCAAGCGTCTACTAGCGCGGTTGGCGGCAATCTGTCGTTAACCAAGAAAAATGACGGTAAATCGGCTCCATGCCCCTAAAAAGAACCATGGTGGCGGAAGCATTTTCGATTCCACAAGCCGATGAACTGCTTAAGCAGGAGTTCAGCAGACTACTTTTCGTTTGAGTTCGCTGCCGTTTTTTCGCAGATACCAATTCACCCTAATAACACGCACAAAACTGCGCTCGCCGTTCGTGTTTGCAAAGTATAGTGAATTTGCGTCTCCTGTGGGCTAGTATAAACTGCAGGCCAGCCACAGTTTCTTTGGACCAGCCAATGGGGAATGGATGACTATATGCATGGAATGTGTGCATGGGTTCAGCCAGAATGTGCAGGGGCACCTGCAGAGCCTACGCCTTGCTCTGCAACTTCTATGGAAGGAGCAGTGGCTCCTGAATGCACAAAAGCGCATTTATTTTCATGCAGTCAGTTAGCCACCTAGGGTTTGGCTTGTCTGCAGTAGTTGCCGAACCACATCCGGTAAATATAGAGGCTTAGTTGGCCACAATAGCCAACCTGCATGCAAGCAGTAATATAACAAATCTCTACAGTTTTAGTGCACATAGCGAAAAAGTTCTCGTCGTCCTTGTATGCTAATGCGCCTTGCAGCACTAGATGCAACGAGGTGCGTTGCAAACCATCCCGGGTTGCCCCCTCTCCTCAAGCACCAGGCCCTTGCGGCCCTGTGTCCAGAGCCTCTAGGGAGTTAACAAGAGGCCATCTGAATTTTAGGAACTTTTGCCGGAAGTCTTTTTTGTTTGACTGCAGCTCACGATTGTACTCGGATGCGATCGAGTACACTCGTTAGAGCCTCCTCGTCCCCGCATCAGTCCCAGATCCTAGGGGTGGTATGCACTGGATACCTAGAGACTGGATGGGGAATCAGCTGTTTTGGTACTCTCATGCCTTCCGCTCGATTGTGGTTAGCGATCGTCCCCAGCTAAAACGGGGGGATATCGCCAGCACCCACGGAAAGGAAGAGTGTGCACTAAACCTGAGGGCGGGGCATGCTGGACATACAAAGTTTACACTATTTTTAGGTTATCCATTTCATCTTAGGCGAAGGATAAGCCCTTGTTGACTAAATAACGCCGCTCTCGCAACGCGTCGTCTCTGTCTGAAGACTCCTCACGTGATGGGATGCAAAGAATTACGTCTGCCAGGTTGAAATCTCTTGCAGAGACTGCCACCCATGAGAACTTTTAAAACTGAGATTTCATATAATTAGATAACTTTGTTACTTTCTGACGTGAAAATTTGTGCCCCCGAACCTACGTGTTATGCGGGGCTTCGGCTAACGGGGCTTGCCTGGGACGACGGGGCAAAGGGGCAGCAGCCACTCCGCCATGTCCTTGTCCTTCATGCCCGACTGCTGTGAAGCTCAGCATGTCTGCCCACACCGCACTTTGTTGCCGTTTGGAATCTTCGGTACGGGAAGATGGCGTTCGTCAAAGCAATAAAGAACAAAGCCTACTTTAAGCGCTTTCAGGTCAAGTACCGCCGGCGCAGGGGTAAGCGCCGGCTGCCTTGGCAACACCGGGTATTCACTCCTGTCGTGTGGGTAATATAAAGTAGGATTCACAGTTTCGTAGACGTTTAGTCGTTTATTTGCAGGTGTGGCGGCATGAGCTTTTTGTTTGGTACTTCTTCCAACGAGGGCGCGCCGGGACAGCCTCAGATGTGGGGAGGCGTCACTGGGACGTTTCTTTGCGTGTCAATTGCTCATAAGCTATACGCTTTTCTGCTGTATATTCTTTTCCTTGTTTTTTCGTGTTTCTGGGAAACCACCTATCACTGCGGTGCGCATGCGGATGCCCCGTTTTGCCGTGGTGTGCCCCTGGTCTGTGTTCCTTGCATTCCGTGCTTCTCTACGTGTGGCCATTATATCCTATTTGCTTGGCTTCACTCGCCTCGAAATTGTTGATAATTTCACTTACTTTCCGAAGGAGAGGGCGCGCGTGTGGCTTTCTAAGTGTCCGCGAGCTTGTTCGTCGCACTTAGTCCTGCGGGCGCATAGAAGTCCTTCGGCAAAAGGAGTGTGGCGACTTAAACCGACGCTCGATGCGAAGCAATGGTTTCTGTCCATTTCATAGACGAGCGCCGACCTGTCTACGCCAACATCCCTTTTTCCAACCTAGATTATGTGCTGAACTTTGCCGTAGGAGGCTGACAGTTGCTTGGATATTAAGTGTTTCTGGGTGTTTTGCAGAGGGGAAGACGGACTATGCCGCGCGGAGGCGTTTGACTCTTCAGGATAAGAATAAGTACAATGCGCCGAAGTACCGCTTTGTTGTGCGCGTGACTAACACACGCGTGCTCTGCCAGGTGATGTACGCCACCATGCAAGGGGACCGGCTTGTATGTAGCGCAGACTCTAAGGAGCTTACTCGCTACGGAATTAAGGTTGGGCTAACCAACTACTCGGCAGCCTATGCAACCGGCTTGCTCCTTGCTCGGAGACTTTTGAAGCAGGCAAGTTCCGGCGTACTCTCGGCGTATCTCTTGCTGAAGTGAGGGGAGCGGCTTGTGCGGTCCTCTTACACTCTTGCTTCTAGTACTGTGCGTTGACTTGTTCAGAAGGGATTGGCTGACGAGTTTGTGGGTGTTGAAAAACCCACTGGCGAGGAGTACCACGTTGAGGAGGTGTCTGAGGAGCGCCGTCCATTTAAATGCGTGCTGGATGTGGGGATAGTCTCAACTACCGTTGGTGCGCTGAACTTCCTGTAGAGTCTTGCCGGTTGTTTTTGTAGAGATTTTGTGTGGCATTTTCTGACGAGGTGCTTCTCGAGCGTGTGTCGTTGTTAGGCAATCGAGTATTTGGCGCCATGAAGGGGGCCTGCGATGGAGGGCTTCACATCCCGCACAGCAACAAACGGTTCCCCGGCTTCACGAAGGGCGAGGAAGGCGCGGAGGACTCGTACAATCCCGAGGTTCATCGTTCGCGTATATACGGGCTACATGTTGCCGAGTATATGCGCACTCTCAAGGAGGAGGATCCTGAAAGGTACCAATCTCAATTCTCTGCCTACATCCGCAATAAGGTAGACGCAGACAGCATCGAGAAGATGTACCAGGAGGCATTCCAGAAGATCCGCGCCAACCCTGACCCCGTGAAGAAGGAGGCAAGAGAAGTAAAGAGAGTCCGCCAGGGCGCCATGATCAAGACTGCGAAGTCCCAGTACGTACGCAACACCAAGATCGACAAGGAGACAAGGAAGGAGCGCGTGCTGAAAAAGGTGAGGAGTTTATCTCATTTTGACGGCGGTGGACGGTGGGGTGCCGATTGCTGCCCGCGTTTTGCCTTTTGAGGGTATTTGCTGATGAGCTGTGAGTCTGGTCATGCGTGTGCGCAGATCCAAATGGTGGCGGAGAAGATGGCAGAGGACGAGTGATTGCTTCCGACAGTTACGAGGGTGTTATACTTCTTGTGACTTACTGGGAGACAGCGCTGCACTTCGGCAGTTGACCAACCGCTGGTCCATCGTTTCGCACCACGGGCCCGGCTGCAATGTTTTCCAAACTGATTTCGATTCATAAGTTTCTGATGCGAATAGCCTGCGTGTCTCAGATCTAACGCTATTTTTTAATGCTTTGCAGTAGTCTTTAGTTCTGGGCAGTGCGGGAAAAGGTAGCCTTTAGAAACTAGTGGGTAGACACTGTCTTGGTTACACACTCGGTTTGTTGACCTTGACACCTCCAGTATCTCCCCCACGAGCTTTCTTTGTGCAGTGGGCGGTCGTGTGGTAGGTGAGATGAAGAGTTCACGGACGATGCATAGTTGAATGCAAGCGCGGCTGTCAAGGCACTACGCTTGGATTCTGGAACGTTCCGTGCATACTTGTCGATGAGCCCCCAAATGTCTAGAAGTTCGCATGGTGCGGCTGATGATGATTGTTGAGCTCTTGACACCTCTTGATAGCACTTCTTAGGTGCACTGTTCTGTAACCTCAACATTATCGACTGATCAAAGCTGCTGTTTATGCGTCGCCCATTGAGTGTTCAAGCAGGAGCTGCACCTCCGTTCCTAATTTCAAAGGTGAATCCGCTCCGTACTCGCGCGCTATTGTCATACATTTGGCAGAGTAGAATCGTCCTCTCTAGTGTCCTTCTACGCAGCTACGCCGTGATGATAAACTTCTTTCCCCATCGGAAGCGCCTTAACGCTAGAAAGGAGATGGCGAACGAATTCGAAACTGTTTCTGACGGCCTAACATGCTGGTTGAGTTTGCAGCTATCGCTAATGTACGAGTGTTTTCTTCGTGTGCCCATCGCAAGATGACAAGCGTTTTCCACAGACCTGTTCCGAATAAAGCTAAATGTGGATGCGAAAACTCCTGACATT